AATATATATGTAAAACACTGAGTTTACTGTCATAGTTTTCTCTTCTAAACCAGTGACAATTTGGAACTTTTAAGCCTGGCTCAAAATGACTCGAACTTAGCAGCTGGAGAGACTTAGCCATTTTCCTTAATCTCGTATTCTTCAACTAGGGACATATTAGAAACATCTGGATGCTCTCAGACATGACTATCCAGATCCTTTTCCCTGAAAGGCTTAGGGTAAACAGATTGGTATGGGCTCTAGGCTGTCATGTTAAAGAGGTTCCTGGACAATCAAAAGGACAATGTGAGTGGATAGAATCTGGAGAGTTTCACATTCTATCAGAGAAGAGAAGAGTATTCAGATTCTCTGTCTGCTTGGAGAACCAGCAAGATAATATATGTGACATTGAAAACACTTTAAAGACAGGAAATCATAGAAAAAGATGTGTGTCCCTTGGTTAGAAATGACAAGACCAGCTTTCACATGCTAATGAGGAGGCATTTCAAAATGAAGGGCAAAGGCTCATTTCTAATCATCATTATTGTTTTGTTTCTTCATGTTTTTTTTTTATCAAAAGCTAACATTTGTTTTTTCTCACAAGGTAAGTCATGCAAATATTTTTGCCATATTGTTAATACAAAAGATTCATTTTTCTCTGTTTATACTTGAAGAAACTGCATAATGGTTTACCTTGATTAAGATATGTGAAGTTTTTATCGTCCTGTAAATATTTTTATAATGCATATCTTGGGCTTGTTAATGAACCATTTGATAATTTCACCACTGTGTTCTGCTCTTGCTGTTTGCTTTTATTAATCATTAGGCAAGAAGAGCATACAGCCTATGTAGGCTACAGGGTATGTGGTTATTTCAGAGCATCTTGACTTTGAGTTCCTAGAGGCAGAGCTTGAGGTCAGGACTGAGGTGGTGAGTTTTCTGGAGTCTTCTTTGAGAAAAGGAGAACTGAAGTCACCCTGGGTGTGGCACAAAGCTGAGCAGGGGTTGGAACCCTGGAGGATTCAGTTTCAGCTGGATCCACTGGGCACTCGCAGCAACCAGGGGTCCTAACTTGAGGCAAGCAGCTGGGCTTTGGACCCTCTGATACTCTGATAGCAACGGTGGAGTAGAAGGCAAATGCCTGGAAAAGGCAGCCAGTGTGAGCCAGCAGGTGAGGATTCATAGCAATGGCGGAAGGGGTGCCCTGGCTCTCCAAGTGTAACACTGCAAGGTTCCCATTGCTTGGAAGCATTACCAACAGCCTTTGGTTCGGAAGCAGTTTCCTCTAGTACAAATTATTTTCTTGCCTTTTGCCATTTCACGTGAATTGTTTCATTTCGAATAATATAAAAATAGCTACTGATTGGGTGGCACTAGGGTTCCTCTCTTAGCCATCAAGGGAAATAGGAGCGATATTTATTGAGTACCTGCTCGTATACTCAGTTGTCACTCAGGAGGCAAAGTGATGACACATAATTATCATCCATCAACATCTCCTGTGCACTGGAAGGATGGAGAGTAGAGAATCAAGAGAAATCTGGTAGCATGAGAACAAAACATATCCACGGAGGGCATCTGCAGAAGAGGAATAGTTCAAAGGAGATAATATTATAAATACTTGGAGTAGATGCACAAATGCCAACTCTTTTACGCACGGCCCTGTGAAAAATAAAGGCTAATCAGGAAATCTAAGTTAAACACTTGAATAAATACACGCTTTAGAAAATAAGATGTAGACAAAGAACTCTAAATAGAAGGAATCCATTCCCAATCTTCCTAAAGTCAAACCTCCTCAGGAGGTGAGGGGATGCTAAGAAAGAAAAGATGAGATTTAGGGATTAGGATTAGATTTAACAAGATGCCCAGCCCCATGTCAAAATAATGCTGATACCACACAGGCAACAACTTGTTTTTCACTGAAATGGTCTGATGTTACCCTGGGATGTTTATATTGAAAGATAGTAGATTTAATACAATATCCTATTAAATACCAATTGTATCAATACCCAGTGGACCCGTCTCTGCTAATCAGAGTTGCAGCTCCCTTGACCTGATAGCCACAGTGGAAAACATTGGTTCATTTTCTTAGAATCTTCCCAGGCAGAATGCCCATCAGATTTCATCAACCTTGCAACACATTCTTCTGGCACGGCACCAGATTTCATTAAATCGCACTGGAACATTCTCCAGGGTCACGGGAAGCAGTCTGCAGGTGTGAGTCAGGGTCTGCACACTCCTCTGGACTGCAGACTCATCCTGATAAATTCCTGTCAGCTGCTGCCGCATCAGAGGCCAGCAGAGAGTCCACCTTTTTACAGATTCACGTCTCTTTATCAACAAAGACAGCGGGCTGCCTCTGGGAATCCTGGGATGTTTTTTAGTTTTAAGCCTAGAATCACAGTTCCTGGAACATCACACACTGCAGCAATCCTCGTTTCCAGGATCCTGCAGCTGTCCGAAAGCCTCAGTACTCTGCTATGACCCCCTTGAACTTTGCCCTGTTTTATGTGTTAGCACATGTGCAAGGGGCTTACTCAATGTAGTAATAGTCCATGTTGTAAATACCTTTTGACCATGCACACACTCACGTCCAGATGCACACACATGTATTATGTGCCTGTATCCAGTTACACTCAGTTTAAGTCCATCCCTTTCCTTCTCAAGAGTTCAAATCAAATGAAAAAGTGCATACAATATGTCAGAAGGACAATTCCTAGTCTACTGCACTACACATAAGTTTCCTGAATATGTTGCTCTTTTATTCTAAGAACAACATGATCTATGACATAATCTTTAGTGTGCACATAGCCAGATCAAGACAAGAAACCACTTAGATGAAGTGGTCAAGAGTTCACCCCTAATTCCTACCTAGCAATGCCAGGTGGTTGGGGGAGAGAGTAAGTCAAGAGGGGTAGGAGGAGGGGTGGTCCCACCTGTGTAGTGTAGTGGTGTGTGTGTGTGTGTGTGTGTGTGTGTGTGTGTGACACCAAAGAGTCGGGACAGCTGGAGGAGGGTAACTAGAGGGTTGAGCTAGAATTCTGGTTTCACCTGCATTGTGTCAGGAAAAGGTGTTAAGTAGAAAGCGGGGGCGGGGGGGACTGACTCCACCTGTGTAGCCATAGACAAAACTTTCCAAGTGTTGCTTCCACATCATGAGACTTGGTTGATAATTTTCTAAAATCTTTCAAGATAATCTTGCAATCATGTAGCCTTACATCTACACTTACCGGCCAAATGAACTTTGGCAATAAGCTAATATAACCCACTTTAACACACACATTTATAGGCCTAAAGGGGAGTGGTTAGTGGGAATGCACACAATGTGACCTAGTGAGCATAGCTCTGCCTCCGACACCCAGGGACGGGTTTTGTTTGCCTGCGGGACCATTAATCTTTTCAGTACTTGTTAAGGGTAAGGAGTAATGTCATTTTACAGAGCAGGGACAGATTTTAGAAGGTTAAAGAGCTCAGCCAGGGTCTCACATTCTGCTAGACAGAGAAGCCATCTGTCAGGAACAGCAATTTGCAATTACATCGCAGGTTTTGGCACATCAGAACCCGGGCTCAGGCTCCTTTTGAGCTCCAGAAGTTCTATAAGGATTCTGACTGTACAAGACAGGCTACTGGGAACACATTAAAGCTACATGGTACTGCTCCACCCCTACTTACAAATGAGGCGGGTCATTCTGCATAGAGCTGAGTGAAAGGCAGTGTCAGCGACCTTGTCACCATGACAATGCCCAGGGAAGCAAGGGAGTGAGGATTTATTTAGACAGATGCTTCTGTCATACTCGCTTGTGTTGCTTCTGGTCTGTGTGTGCAGAGGCAGAATGTGGTACCAGGGAACTTGTGTTAGAGCAGAGGTGCACACCTCCTGGCAACAGGAAGCAGGCAGAACCAGAGAGGAAGGGTCCAAGGGCATCCTGTGCCCTCCAGAGATCAATTCATAGTGACCTACTTCCCCCTGAAAGCTTCCCCTTCCTAACAGTTCTTTCAGCTGTATATTTACCTACATATTAATCCATGTATGAAGTTGGCACTTAACACATAAAATGTAGGGGGACATTTCCCAGCCAGACTCTCCTCCAAGGAGCATTTAGAAACAAAAACGTATCAGAGTGTTCACGGTGGTGAGTTCAGGTGGTGATTTTACAGAAAATCCCACTTTTCTTCTTTATTCTTGTGATAATTGGTAAATCTTCTACAATAAACAGTTGTGACCTTGGAAAAGTTGCAGGATTGCGCTGAGCTTTCTTGATCGTCTTTGTAATGAGAATAATAATGGAATTTCAGATTGCATGGCCAAATCCTGGAAAAAAATTCAATCTACTTCTGACCTGACTAGTGCATTAGACAAATGTCAGCCATGAAAGCAAAGGAAGCTTTAAGATGAGCTCGCTTTCCTTATTAATTGTTGTATAACATATATTGGCTTTAAAGTCAAACAAAAAATTAATGCCTCAGTAATTATCATTTTGGACAATAAATATACTCACTGGAGTGAGTCCAAAGCTGGGCTACAGACTGGCTCCAGGGAGCCCAGGCTTCTCTTTAGTGATGCTGTATCATCACCATATGGCTGTGTTGTCTCCCTGGGGAGCCGGTTATATAGAACCTAAGTGATGTCTCAGCATGAGCTGGAATGACATCTCTATCATTGATAGAAACTATATCTGATGTGTTAGTTTGCCTGAGAGACAACATCCAGGGGACCACAGAGAAGAAATTCAAGTTTGAATACAAGTCCCGGGGAGAGGTTCGCAGGAGATCGTGCTAGACTTTGATGAAGCAGAGGGAATGAAGCCCTCCCGTGATTCGGTGGCACGTGCTCCAGAGCTGGCATGAGGGCAGATGGAGAATCATATGAGGACGCTGAATAAGAACTTGAAGCCTCTCGGGGCAAATAGTTTTCCAGAATCTGTGATCTTATGGATCTCCTGACCTGGAACATTTTAGAAACAAAAATATGACCTTCTTGTTAGATAAATTTCAAAACTAGCTAATATGACCTTCAGGATGGAGGGGAGAGCGATTCCCTGCTAACAATGTGAACCAGCAGCCCCTTTCTTTCTTTCATCCACCTAGAAAATGGAGGGCTGTGTGGAATCCTCTTCTTGTCTGGTCAGTTTCCTCTCTTTCAGGACGAGCTCTGACAGATAGTTGAACAATAGCCCTTTAGATGGTGGATGTAGATAGTCGAGCAAAAGGCCAAAGGATCCTGACATACAAATCAGATGACATTGATGTAGCTTAATTATTCTGGGTTCACTAACATTCTTTTATCTGTCAACAGTTCCATATTAAAATTTTATTATGCCTGAAATGTTTATTCCTGCAGTCAAAATCACTCTAGGTTGTAATTTTTCCTCCTCTCAAATATATTGCTGTTTCACTAGAGGGTTGTTTTTTCATCTTATCATCCATCATGATAAAAGCTGGCGGAACTTCAAGTAGAAATGTTGCCCATCAGCACATCAGCGTTCCTTATGGTGACAAAACCATCTCACTCTGTATGGTTCAGAGCTGCAGCAGGCCGGAAGCTGTAACCTCCACTGGAAGGGGGAACGGAAAACACAGGAGTACCTCAGTAGTCAGGGTTTCCTAGCCTCGGCACCGAGAGATCTTGTCATGATCACTACAGGTATCATCAAGGTTTTAGAAGCAAACTTCACACTCTATGCGACACGGACCAGCCCCCTTCAGGAGGATGTGTGTCAGAGGGGCTTCTTCCTCTCACGCATGCCTGTGTATGCCCAGATTTTGTCTCCTATTTCTAAAGACAACAAATATGTGCATAGCTGTACAAATGGAAGATTGTCTTCAGAAGGACCTGCACACATAGCTGTAAAACCACAATGCCTTCCAGACCAGCTTAACTGTCATTCAAAGAATCACAGAGCCAGAGGCTCTTCGCCCAGAGTGACTCTCTCTCTCCTGCCGTTCTTTAGAGAGACTGACATCTGTTGGTGACATCTTTCCACATGTTGACTTCCCGAGGGAGGTACCAGGATGAATATTTTTAAAGTGGATTCTCTCTCTTTCAGCCTCCTTCGCTTGGATTTTCCTGTCTCTGCGTCTCTCTTGCACCATGGCAATCAGGCTCTAGATCTCCTTTTCTGCACACACTCTGCTCTTCTCCCATGTACTTATTACACCGCCCCCCACCCCCGCGATGGGCACGTCTGCTCTCCAGGTCTGGATCTGATGCCGGGGTCTCTCCATCATGTCAGGGCCCCTCTACTTGATTGCTTAACCCTAGCTTTTGCTTCAGTTTTCTTTGCCAAGTATCTTGAGAAAGCAACAACCCACCTTGTTCTGATCTCTTCTGGCATTTTAAGTTACTCAGAACACCCCACCCCCAAATCATCTTAGCATTTAGAAGTTCTGTATTTCGGTTTAGGGGAGAACCTTATTCTTTCTGTCTTAACTTAGGAACACGGTGATTCTGCCACAAAACTACATTGTTGCTAAGAACTGAATAGTGAACTATTTCTAGAGTTTAAAAAATAAATTACATTTTAATTTATTTATGAGTTTGATATGCATGCCATGGTGCATGTGTGGAGGTCAGATGAAAACTTGTGGGAGTTGGTTCCTTCCTTCATCTAGGTGAGTCTGGAAGACTAAACTCAGGTAGTCAGACTTAATGACAAGTGTCTTTGCCTGTTGAACCATCTCTCCAACCCTCTGGTGTGGGAGGTCCTTCTGTATATGTGTTGCTTTTAATAGTTAATGAAGAAACTGCTTTGGGTCTATAGTAGGGCAGAACAGAGCTAGGTGGTAAAAGCTAAACTGAATGCTGGGAGAAAGAAGGCACAATCGGTGAGAAGCCGTGTAGCCCCGCTAGAGACAAACTAGATGGAATCTTATTGGTAAGCCACAGCCATGTGGCAATACACAGATTAATAGAAATGGGTTAAATTAAGATGTAAGAGCTAGTCAATAAGAAGCTAGAGCTAATAGGTTAAGCAGCGATTTAATTAATACAGTTTCTGTTTGGTTATTGTGTGGCTGTGCGCTGGGAACAAACAAGCGACCTCCTCCAACAAATCTCAGTATTCTTTACAAGACAAACCCTCCCTAAACTTCTGACTGAAAAAAGGCAAAAATAGAGACCCGCAGAAGAATCCCAGGCACCAACAGCTTGATGTCATTACTGTGTGTCTTGTTGGTTTCTTTTCTGTTGCTATGGTAAGACATCACGACCAAGGCAACTGACCAAAAAAAGTTAATCTGGGGCTTACAGTTTCAGAGGTACCAGGAGACATGGTGGAGCAGTAGCTGAGAGCTTACATCATTACCCACAACTAGGAGAAGAGAAAACTAACAGGGAAGGTCTTTCTTGGGCTTTTGAAACCTAAAAGCCTGCATCCAGTGATACACCTCGTCCAACAAGGCCACACCTGCTAACCCTTCCCCCAGAGGTCTACAAACTGTGACCGAGTATTCAAATATATGAGCCCAGGAGAGACATTCTCGTTCAAATCTGTGCTGCAGAGTCTCCAGATACACGGTGTCTTCAGCTGTGCCCTGAAATAGGTTGTCCTTTCTCCTCTCTTGTCCTTTCTACTCTCTTGTTCTTTTGTCTTTTTTTTCCCTTGATAGTGCATGCTTGTTTTCAGGGGGTCCATATGTCTACATATCCCAGCGACAAGTCAAAAATGCTTTGGCTGGAGGTTTTACCAGGACTCGGGGACTCAGCATTAGACGAGGGCTCAAATGTGTCCAGTTGATTTTGCTCAAAGGTGTAGTGTCCTGAGCATAGTCACATACTGAAATAAAACCCACAAATGGAGACAAAACCACACCACTGAAAGTTCTAGAACCCCAAGTTCCTTGGGGTTTTATGGAGGAGGAAGCAAAGGTACGATGCCAGAGCTCATCCAGGTTTCCGTCACCATAGCCCTGCCATCCTCCCCGCTGAAGTTCAGTGATAGCTCTGCATTTGCCTGCTTGCCATCAGACGTTGTCTAACAGCCTGAGTCTTATTTCCTCCTTCCAAAGTCTCAGCCCACTTTATTCATTTTTGGGTAGTTTTATGACTGCCTGGTGGAAAATACTTTTTCTTTTGATGCCTAGATTTGAAATATTATAAAAAATCATATCATACAATCATACTGTTTAATTCAGATATATATTTTTTAAAGCTAATGTATATTTTAGAAACCATTTGATGTGACTATATGTGACAAATGTTTTATTTAGTAGTTAATGTTGTACTACTAATAAGCCAGAATTGGTAACAGTATGTATTTTTGCAATATTACATTTTTACTAGACTACATACTAAATAATAGTGGTATTAATGTATATAATGCTTAATATTTAATTGTTTTTAGTCTTTGCCATCAAATCAGGCCCCAAGCGGCTTTCTTTGCTTTTTCTCTTTCTCCAATACAGTTTTCGGAACTTTCTCTAAGTCATGAATCCTCGTTCCCTCCCCCTCTATCATACTTTTAGTTTTCCCGTTCTAACTTCCTGTGTAGAGACTGATACGCAGGTAAATATCTCATGTTGAGTAATGCCTGCCCAGACACTCAGTGTGTGGTCAGGGTATAATAGAAGCTTTCAGGCTGGGGTGGCCTCTTCTGTTGATTTTTAAAATCTGGCAACCATCCCAACTTCTCAAGAACGTGGAGAGGAAGGCGTTCCCTGACTGAACGCCACCCCCTCCGGGGTGAGGGTACCTTAGTCATGACTAGGAGCCCTTGGTGGCATAAGGTACCCTGTCCAAATGTTATAACCCCTCTCCTCTTATACTTAGAGTTCATACTTAGAGGTCTGAGAAAAACCAGAAACCCTACCGTTCAGAATATACTTTTGTTTGTTTCTGGTTTCCGAATGACTCTTTCTCTGCACCACCAAGCCCAGGGAACTGTTGCACTTTCAAACTGAATGAATGGAGTTTGCTGGTTCAGAAGTGTGGCGGGAGGGCTGCTGAGAAGATCCAGACACTTGGCCTAGAGTTGTGGGAAGCACTTAGTCTCCACAGGCCTTCCTGCTGGAACACAGATAGAAGGGGATGCCAGTGAAGGGCCGAGCAGACCCTTGGTGTGCAGTCCCAAGAGCCAGGAAGATGCACTTCCTGGATATCAGTGTCCCACAGATGAAGAAAGTCAGAGCGATTGCTGGCAGCGGTCCTTAGACAAACTATGGGCTTCTCAGGTAGGGAGAAGCGTCTGCTTTTTATTGGTTTATTTTTGTAGATATTAGTTATTAGACAAAGTCAAAAGGAGAAAGACGTGAGCTGCAGTGATCTGCCAATGATGGATAGCTACTGGCAAAAATTCCAAAAATTTAGAATAGCCAGAGCACAGCCACAGCTGGCCTGGCTCTGAGATCGTATGGCTACAGAGGACTGACTCTAGGAAGTCCATCCTCTCCCCTGTGATCTCTGTGTGTCAGTGCATGCAGTAGCCCCAACCCTGTCTGCTAAGATGGTAAAATATGAATTTCAAAGTGGAGTATCAGTGTTGTTAATGCCGGCTTTCTCGGGAGTCTCTCCCTCCTTACATAGTAACTCATATGTGAACAACTGACCTTGCATGCTCTGTGGATCATACCCTAGTCCAAATTTCTGTTTCTATTAATTTCATTATGACATTATCTGATTGGCCTTTATTAGATCTTATGTGTCTGCTCTGGTCCATTTTGTTATTACTGTAGTAATTTGGTTCTGTTTTGTTTTAATGTGATCAATTGTATCTTGGCATCTGAATAGACACTGGACACAGAACCCGTATTTAGGCATTGTGACTTACAGGAACCTGAAGACACAGCGTGTCAGTATGATTGGTAAGGAAGAGGATGAATTGATGGAGTTATTATGATATTCCCAACTTATCTCTCTTATGAACAATATGTGATTGGTTAGTGATCCATGACCACCTTACTTTCTTCCTATTTTTGCATTTCCATGGAGTTCATTTTCAGTCGTTGTGCCCTTGTCTAAACAAACCGGTTTCAAAGACATGTTATGTGTCCTGTCCTCTTATCTCATTTTACTTCCTGACATTTCAGTGGCCCCTGGTGAGCTACAGGTTGAAAATATTAAGTGGAAGATAACAGCACTGAATAGCAAGTTTCAAATTCAGCCCTCCATTCGAGTAGCATAATGAAATGTTAATAATCTTCTTTTTCCCTCCCACCAAGGACGCGACTCATCCATATGCATGCTGGGTTTGCTACCTGCCTGTTCATCATCAAGAAGGCTTGTTGGTTATCGTGGTACTGTGGTGCTGTGTGCAGGGAGCCTTATTTATTCATGACTCCAAAGCACAAGAGTAGTGATGTGATTTTATTACAGCACTTTGATATCATTTTTGGATGTTATTATCATTCATTACCATCTAGCTTTTACCTTGCCTAATTTATAAATTAAACATTTTCATAGGCTTATATCTATGCATGTATGTACGTATATATATGTGTGTATATAATAGGTTGATATGTATGTCCTTAGGGGTGGGTACTATCTTCAATTTCAGCCATTTGCTGAACATTTTAAAATCAAGTTCTCAAGGCTAGGTAAAGTACTTAGACTACCTAGATCTATAGTCATGGCTCACACTGATGACAGAGGATCTCAGAGCCATTTGGGGAGACTGGAGCTGAAGGACTCTCAGGACTTCTGACGGTGACTTTGTCACTGACACGGAATATTCTGTTGTACCTTACCCTGCTCCCCACTCCACCAGGATGCCCTTATTGAGAAGAACACTGGTCAGAGGAAGAGCAATGACATGGTCAGAATAAACCCAGGGGTCGAGATAGGACGGAGACCAAGACTCCTGTCACTAACTGTAGAGCGTCAGAGCTGAGGCCAGCCTAGCAGAAACTGCAGCCACCTTAGAACACGGGAAAACGACTCAAGCGTTGTCTCAAAGCATGCTATGCACCAACCACTCTGTGCAGTTAGAACCTCACCAGAATCTCACCACAGGATGACCTCACCCAGTCATCTGACGGTGTTTACTCCTCTGAGTTTTGGCTCCATCCTTGCTTCTCGTTACTCAGCTATTCACCAAATTCCCACTGGTCTGACCTGCTCCAGTGTTTCTCAAACCCGCTGTCCTACGAGGCTGTTGCCGGTCGGCTCATCACGGGCTTCCATGTCAGTTGACTTCATGGCCCAGGACTCCTCAACTCCAAACCTTCTACTGTTGAAAATGCTTTGCTTCTCAAAGAGGGAAGATATTCTCTTTATTCCCTGGGAGAAAACAAACAAATATCCAGCCCTGGCCCTCTTTCAGAGGGTCACAAGCTAAAGCTCCTGCCAACCCTCCCCTGGTTGCACGGTGCAGCCTCCACTGTTTGATCACAGTACCCTCTACACGACACATTATCTTTTGAGGTCTTGTGTATTCCATGGAGTGTCATATGAATTACATATTCCCCTCTTAGTCACAGGCTCTAATATAAGTATGCACGACGACAGCCAGCCAATTCCTGTTTAGAAATTATCCAGCGTGACTTCACACACTCATAACTACGGCGCATTTGCAGGCTCACACAATGAATAGCTCAGTGCTGCTCCACCCCAACTATTGAGAAAAACTCCCAGGAGGAGAATGTGTGTGTGTGTGTGTGTGTGTGTGTGTGTGTGTGTGTGTGTGGTAGGGGTGGATTATGATTCAGCCAGAACTCCACGTGCTCACATGAAGTCATCTTCTTGAATATTGCCTCTGTTTTATTTTGTAACATAGTTCCATTCTCTCCAGATCAAACATAACAGCATTCTTTTCTCATAGTTACTTTAGCATAGCATAATTATAGTCACATAACAAAATGTTATGTTAAATAGAAAATCAAATAAAATGTTACTAAATAACAAGAGACACCACAGTGTACTGAAGCCTGGTTGTCAGCCTATGGTGGTACCCAAGAGGGGTCAGGAAGGGAGGGAATCCACCTAGCATATTGAGAATTTTATAAATCATGATAACATACAAACCCAGATCCTACCTTTTGTTCTTATGGCCCCATACAGAGCAAAACTTACCTTAATGAAAGATATCAGAAAAATAAAAAGATATAAACTGAATTAAAATCTGTACACATGAGAGCAGCTTTTCTAGTCCATCTTTAGACTGGATGCTTGCAGAAGCATTCATCTCCATCCCCCTCTCCCTGTCTCGCTCCCTACCTGCCTCTGACTGGGTCCATCCTAGATTTCAACCTTCCAGAACCTGTCGACATAAACATATATTCATGGAGAGGGAGGCAGCACTGATAAAAATCAAGCCCCTCTTTACTTTAAGCCTTCTCAGCAGGTCCGGATCCAAAGGGATATTTCCTTCAAATTTCCCCCTGAAGGTCTTGCCGACTTTTATACATATACATACACATTAAGGATTAAATGTTCTTATTATTTCCTGGGTTGAATTCTCTGTCTTTCCTCTCCAAACAACTTATAAAAGCTTAAAAATATATATTTGAGGGATCTTAGTTACCACAATAATGTAATATATGATAAAAATGTCTGCTTGTTGCCATTTGTGTATGGCAACGGTGATGCTGGAATTTCATGGCAAGCAACATAATTTCCAGTAAAACCATTTTATTTGCTTTCTTAAGATGAGTTGCTGTGAATATCTTTCCATACAGACCGATAATGCCCCCAGCCTGATCAGAAAAACACCTCTGCCTCAATAGTCCTCCACCTTCAGGCAGCTTGTCTAAGCTCGCTCTGAGAGCTTCCCAGCAAAGAAGAGAGGATATCCTGGTCAGATGTCTGCAATGTGACAAGCACCTAGGACAGTCATCTTGGCTCACTCCATGGCTCATGACCCCGCTGTCTCTCACTTGTGCTGAGGCAAAGCCTCTTGGCAGCTAGTGCACAGTAGAGCAAAGCTGCCCAGGTCATGGCAGCCAAAAAGCAAAGGGACTCCTAGGAAGGAGCCAGGGCAAGACAAGCCTTCCTAAGACAGGCTCCCAGTGGACCCTCTCCCCTGGCTAGGCTCCATGCTGTGAAATTACCATCAACACTCAGTAATGCTGTCAAATTGAAAGTCTGTCCCAGGTCAGCCCAGGAATGAGGAGGTCACACCCCTCACGATCTAGATCTAGTCCTTTGCTAATGCTCTACCTGGGAGTATTATACTGGGGACAGAGCCTCCAACACACAAGCTTTTGAGGGACATATCAAATGCAAGCCCTAACAAAGACCTGTTCTTTCCTCTATAGCCAGTGTTAGATGTCTGTCCTGCCTTCTTATACCTTCATTATGCTCTATCATATACCCCTTGGTACCTCGCTTTCTGGGGCACTTGTGCCTCGGGCATCTGGCTGTCAGGGCAGTTGTTAGACTCCGTTGGGTGCTGGCTGTGCATATGGACTTTGAGCCTCTTACCACTTCTGATCCCGGATGTTTGCTATTTGCTCACCATGGTGTAGCCTCACAAGCTGCCCGCCTTCCAGTTCACACAGAGGCTGCTTCCTGGTCCTAAAGCTCAGGTCCTTCATCTACTTTCGCTCACAAGCATAGTAAACAAGTTGTTTTCAGGTGACTGTGTGGCACAACCGCGTCCTCTCTGAGAGTTTCTTGTATATTTATAAATGTCTCGCTGTGATTTTTCTCTGTGGTACCTCATCAGATTCCTGATGCGAATCTCAGATTTTATACATCTATTCAAAGACCTTGAAGTGAGATGACCTTGATTTTTATCTGAAAAGAAAAAACTGGCTGATGTTCCAAAGCTTAGTGGAGATGAAAAAATAGTTTCAGAGACATTCCTGAAGACAGTGGGAGCAGAGCACGTGGTTGGTGCCAGTGGGCAGCCGGATCCCAATCTGGGGAAAAGATTGTGACTTTAATGCCTGTTGGTAAAAAGACGTGTGAAGGTTAGGAAGAAGCCTGGACCAGCACACTCTGGGGAGTTAGGCTTAGATCCTCCTCCCGTGCTCTCTTTCAAGGAAACGTTGGATGTGACATTCAGTGCCTTTGAAAATTGTTTCTGCTAGCTTCATAACATTGGCAAAACAAGAAAGATAATATATATGAAGGCCTTGAATAATCATGTCCACCAAAGCAGTTGTGCAGCAAACACTCACAACCGATGTCCTCTGGAACCAGACCACGTGTTCTGCCCATCGCCACTCTCATTGTCCTGAGTACCAACTGGATTGCATCAAGCTTTTCAGCACCCGGGTAGGCTATAAAGGAAGCAAAAGAAAGCCTCTTAGAAATGAAGATCAAGCTCTGTGCCGTGGGCGGCACGAAGTCTGGTTTCATTCACCACGGCTGGCTCAGCCACGCCACTGTCTAGGATGTCCAGGAGACCATTTCCTTCTACTCCCCATTCGTCTTTGCTTTTCCAGAACAGCATTTTGGATTCCCATGCCTATATTCTAAGTGTGCAGTAGAAAGGAGATTTTCCAGGTGGAGAAGCAGAGTAAAGTCATGTAAGAGCTGAGTCATGAATAGTGGGGCATTTTTCATGCTGGGTGGGTAGAGGGTAGCGAACTGTCAGAAAATCACCAGGTCTCGCAAGGCAAGAGCTAGTACACCCAGAACACACAAGATGTGTGGCTGACATTAGATCATCGGTGCTTGGGTTCTAAGCAGCTCCTGAGCTGGTCAGGCAGGCGTACACTTGCCTCAGGATCAGATATCACTGAAAGAGAGACAACATGACTTACATATTGGAGCAGTTTCTCTCTTTCCTTTAGTTCCTCTTCTTCATCAGCTCTGTTTCTCCACATTAGGCAATTCTTTCTAGAGCAGAACGAGGAACTGCCTTTGGGTTTCATTTGCCCCTGATTACCCCTGAATCTTGAGTTATTTATCCTACTATCCAGCCTTGGGAAACTAGTTTCTGGTGCTTTGGTTATTGGTTTTATTGCACCACCCTTGTCCTAAAGCAATTGAATATCTTAGAGTAGAGGCAAAAAAGAAGAGGAAAGATATTAAAAAGGTGGCATTCTACCCCATAAGTTTAATAAACTCAGTCATTTGTATTTGGGGGCCCCATCATCACAAGTCAGTATTAACAGAAAGGATTGCATTCACCCTTTCAAAGAAGGTAATCAAGGATGCGTTGCTCCGTTGAGTGTGTCCCTGGGTGCATGTGCCCATCTTCAGGGCAACGCCAACTGCAGGAATACTGCTCCTCTCCCAGGCTCTCTGTAGACATTGTTCCCTGCTGGCTCTTGGGTATCTCCTTTTCATTCCAGGCATGAACGACTTTTTCTTCCAACAGGATTTATCTTCTCTTGTGTTGACAGTGAGAAAATGCAATCTCTGTGGTTTTGGCCTTCGTCTTCTGTCACCGAAATTAGTTGATAGCTTTCTCTCTCTCTCTCTCTCTCTCTCTCTCTCTCTCTCTCTCTCTCTCTCTCTCTCTCTCTCTGTAAATTTTTAGAGAACATGAGAAATAGTAAGGAAAAGCTATTTTTCAGGCTTCAGTCTCAGCCTTTCACTGGTCTCAGGGAAGAACGCTTGCTGTAGTCCTAATGAGTGACTTACCTCTGGAATTACAGTCTTCGGACTTAAATTGGCAGCTATGTTTCCTCCCATCGCTCACACCAGGATATGGGTACATAAAAGACTATAATGAGCTTCATCTCCATTTAAAAGAGAATTAGAGTCAGTATTTGTAAGGAAAGCCATCCTGGGCTTTCTGTCCTGGTAGTCAGCAACAGTCCAGCATGAAGGCAGCAGTTCCTAGAGAGGCAACTGCCACCCAGACACCCGTCCCTCTATGTGTTACATGGAGGTTAATTTTGGAGTAATGTATGAAGCAGGGCCGAGTGACAGAGAAAAGATAAAATGAAACTAAATGAACCCTAAGGATAAGAAATTCAGTTAGTGATTTGTTTAGACGGCCATAAAAAAAAGTTGTATAAAAGTTGCTAGTGTGACTATATCAGGAAGTGCCTCGACAGCTAGGGATTGTGAGGGCGAGTTTTAATTGTCAACTGGACACAGAAGCGCCTTAAAGAAAGTCACAATGAGGGGACTGCACAGATTAGCTTATTCTATGGGCATGTGTCTTGGTTGTTAATTGAGGTTAGAAGAATTGCCCACAATAGGCAGCACCATTCTCTATGAAGGGGATTCTGAACTGTGGAGCAGTGGGCAGAATGAAGTAAGCATAAGCAGGCATCCATCTGTTGCTCTTGGTTGTGAATATGGGTGTGATGTGGTCAGTCTCCTGCCCCTGCAACTTCCCTGCTATGATGGACCAGAGCCTGGAACTGTGACTTAAATCTTTTTCTCCCCTAAATTGAGTTTCGTCAGGGTAAGTTGCCATAGCAATAGGAAATGAAACTAATACCGCAGGGATGATTTTTATTTCTTCAATTAAACATAACTATCTCTGACTGAATATATAAGCTTCCACAACAAAATCTTTAAGACTTTTGTCTGAAATCTGATTTTGTAGCACTTGCCACAAATGTTTATATGGACTATGTTGATCATGTTGGCCTTTGTATGATCAATGAAATTTTCCTTTTATAATATCATATGGTGTAAACTCAAGAAAGTCCAGTCTTCACAGCGTCTTGAAAACAAACAAAATGGACACTTTCTATGAGTCAAGGTGGTAGGAACTATGGAAAATTCCCTATGGATTAATGATAGGAGTATGATAACTCTCTACTAAAATGTGTTCTATATGCCAGATGCAATGCTTCTCAGTTCACATGCAATCGAAAGTTCAAGTTCGAAGCAATCTTCCATGGTAGATTATGAGTCTAGTGGGTTTCGTCAACTGAAGAAACACCAATGTAGTTCATGGAACACGGGAACATGGGCTTGAACACGTGGAGAGAAAAATCTCTGGTAGGGAGAATACCAATGCATAAAAACCAAGAAAGATTAAATTATGATTACTACCTATGAGCTGTTAAGCAGAAAATATATGTATATATACATATATATATATGTACATACATGTTTAGTCATACATTTCTCAGCACTAGATATATATTATGAGAAATGTGTTATTATTTGATCATTGTGTGAATATCTTAGATGGGTTTACACCAAGCTACATAGCTCAGTGTACTACATAATTAGACTATGTGGTATATGTGAACCACATATATGGGTTCACAGATGGTCCGCGTTTGATCAAAACATTGCTATGTCGGACAATAATGATGTGAAAAAATGACTTCATTGTTGCAAAAAAATTAACAAAAATGAAGGACAAAAGAAATCCCCACAGTCTATCCATGATGTGTTTAGAAAAATGAGGCTGGAAACCATTTCTAGGAGATACTCTGTACTGATGACATTTTGGCTTTTGGTATACACAGTTTCAAAGTTTGATAGCATTCATAGTAACATCCAGATTCTATCGCACATCGAATTGAGATCTTAGCTCTTCTGTTTAAAATGATCTCCTTGTTCCAAAGGAATGCAAATGCTTGCCATCCATGAATATATTACAAAATTCTTGACCCTATCTATTTGTATTATGTAAACAATGTATGCATTATTTATACCAGAGCTCTTGGCTCTTAGTTGCTGTATTATAAAGCTGGCGGCAGCAGGAGGGTAGTTAAAACCCACATGGAACATAAAAATATTGAAGGTTTCTAAGAAAAGACTAGTTAGCAAAAACAGTAATTACTTGAATTTAATAACATAATTTGTTCAGTATCACTATAACAATTTTAAAAAGAGAGGAAGGAAAAGGTCTAAATCTCTAAATTCTGTGCTGAAAGAGCCAAGGTTAGACTAAGGGTGTAGCGTAGCTTGTTTATTAGCATTGTTAAAAATAATGATCAAGTTAATTAAAACTGAATTATGGTGGAACCACCTAGAAAGACTAATGGCAGCCATTTTAATGAGCCCCATTAATGGCAGCGATAATGATTAAGCTATTTTGAAACAAGCTCAATAGTGTTATTCTTCATAAGGAATCTCCTGTGCACACTTCTCTCACGTCCCTGTTGGGAGATTAATAGTAAGAGGATATTTCAGCTGTAGACCTTGCTGTGACCATGACAGCTCCACAGTGAACCCTGTAATGAATTCATACTGGTCGTGATTGTTGGAGAACAGTTCAAATCAAAGATATTGCCCTCCACAAACACAGCGTGCTTCTACCTTTGAGGCACATGCCAGCTCAAAGAAGAGTTGGGTTATTACACAAAAGCCCCAAGTCTTTCCTCGATTTTGGGGGACTCTTAAGTGTTTGATTCTTTGATTGTTTCTGGAAACTGAGCATTGCTGTGTAGTCTAGATTGGCCCCAACGTCTCCATCCTTCTGCCTCAGTCTCTAGAGTGCTGGAAAGAGAACTATTTTCATGTCAAAAAAATGAATCCTTACATATGAGTTACATCAACCCTTCTGATTGATAAAACATA